TCTCTCTCTCTCTCTCTCTCTCTCTCTCTCTCTCTCTCTCTCTCCTTCCCTCCCTCCCCTCTGTTTTGTGACTCCATAACTTAAACAGCTTCCTCTGCCACATGCTCTCACCATTGTGAGCTAATTGCCACATGCTCCAAAACAATGAAAATCATGAGTCAAGTGTGTTCAGTTTTCCATCAACTTAACACAACTTGACTAGAGTCATCTGGGAAGAGAAACCTCAACTGAGAAAATACCTTCATCAGACACACACGCACAGACACACAGACACACACACACACACACACACACACACACACACACACACACACACTACATACATAAAGGTTAAAAAATCCCTAATCATGAAAAATCAGAGATTAAATGCAGAATCTCTTTTTTTAAATTGTGTGTCAATTATTCATTAGTGAAATTACTGCTACATCATCATCCAGTTCCCCAGCTGCTGGAAAGCTCTTTCCAGTTGGGAGAGAGTACAATGGACCAACCTAAGGTGGAAGGTGATTTGACTCAGGTAGGGCCAAGTTGATCAGGTTGTATCTGGAGGAAGCTAGACTGATCCACAGAGAAATGATAACTGAGGCTGTGGCTGGAATGAAATCTGGGGCATGATGCTATGAAACAGTTTGGAATATCTTTCTTTTTAGCCCAGGCTGGCTTCAACTTCACTATGTTGTGGTGGTATTGTGTTCCCCAAAATATTGTGTACCCTAATAAACTTATCTGGGGTCAGAGAACAGAAAAGCCACTAGATACTTAGGCTAGAAAATGTTGGCACTCATGCCTTTAATCCTAGCATTCCAGAGGCAGAAATCCATCTGTTCAAGGATACAGCCAAGCATGGTGACTCACGCCTTTAATCACAAAAAGCAAGCCTTTAATCCCAGGGAGTGATGGCAGATAGTAGAAAGGTATATAAGGCATGAAGACCAGGAACTAGAAGCATTTGGCTGGTTAAGCATTTGGCTGGTTAAGCTTTTAGGTTTTGAGCAGCACAGTTCAGCTGAGAGCCATTTGGATATGAGGACACAGAGGCTTCCAGTCTGAGGAAACAAGATCAGCTGAGAAGTTGGCCAGGTAAGATTAGCTGTCTCTCTGATCTTCCAGAGTTCACCCCAATAACTGGCCTCAGGTTTGATTTTATTAATAAGAACTGTTAAGATTCCTGCCACACTATGTAGCTGAGGCTAACTTGAACTTTGCCTGCCTCTACCATTGAGTGCTGAGGTTACAGGCACATACCTCTACACCCAGCTTCTGAGGTCCTAGCATCCAACCCAGGGCTTCACACATTCTAGGCAAGCATTTTGCCTGCTTAGCTACATTCCCAGCTTTGGTTTGTGAGTTTTGGACATAAAAACAGGCCTAAAAACAGGAGCGGTGGTTTAGGGTCTCTGGGACTCCAGCCACACAGAACCTTTTCTATAGGTTGGTTTTCATTGCTGTGACCCCATATATGACAGAACAACTCAAGGGAATGAAGGCTTATTTTAGCCTTCGGTTCCAGGGGGTCCTACTGATAGAAATTCCCACCACGACCCCACAGTCAGGCATGGTCACGCATGCCTAGCAGGACACTTAGTCATCTCTGCCTAGTCATTTCCGGGCCATATGTCTTGTGTGATCTCTGCGTGTGGGCCTGTGTGCGCAGGTACAGCCTGGCCTTTATAAGGTGGCGCCATGTTCCCCACCCCCCCTCCCTCCTCTCTCTTGCACATGCCCTTCCACGGGCCTGATCACATCTATCCTTTTTCTTTGTCTTGATAAAACTCTTGTTAGTGGATTCTGTTATGTGTCATGACTTTTCCTTTGGGGCAAGAGTGCCATAAAAACCAACACCTATCCCCATGTGCTTGGGCAGAGAATCATGGCACTGGGAACACGGACAGGAAGCAGAGAAAGTTGTAGCAAATGAAAAGTGGCCAACATGAAATATAACTGCAAAGACACACCCCAATAAATCCTACTAGGCCCTGCCCCCCACCTTTCACTATCTCCCAATAATACCTCATATTGAGGATCCATTTCTCAAATCAGAGGACTCCTCCTCCTCCTCTCTTTTTGAGATCCGGTCTCACTATGTAGTCCTGGCTAGCCTAGAACCCATGAACACTGTACCCCTCCCAAAGAACCCTATTTTCAGTGTTGTCTTACTTTGAGTTTCTTTTTGTAAAATATTTTTATTAATTCTTTGAAATTCTTGTATGTTGTATTTTGGTCATCTTCATTCCCTCTCCCAGCTCCTCCAGATCTGCCCCCATCCCATCTACCCAACTGTGTGTCCTAATTATTTTATTGAAAACTATTTTTTCAAACAGTACATTCTGATGATGACTCTCCCTTCCCCCAGTTCCTCCCAGATCCTCCCATCTCTCTACCGACCATGCTCTTTCTTTCTCTCTTAAAAATAAAAACAAAACAAAAAAACAAACACTGAAACCAAAGCGAAAGACCAATAAGACAGAAAAATGGCCAAACAAAGCAATTTGAGATAAAAATGTCTACAAAAATATCATTGAGTTCATTTTGTGTTGGCCATCTACCATGAGCTTCTGGGCATGAGGCCTCCACCAAGTGTGGTTAATGCACCCAGGAAGATTCTGTTGGAAAAAGGGAAAAAGAATCTGGATCAAGGACTGAAGTTATAACACTTATTTATTTTTTTTTTTCGGTAATTTTGACAAGGACAGATGTAGGAATGGAGAAAGCAGGAAGCGAGGAAGGCCGGGGCGGAGCGTGTTAGACACAGTTGGCTGCCCCGTTTGGTGATGGGGAGCCAACCTTGCTGCACGTAGTTCCTCTGAAGCCGAGAAGAACACAGCTGGGACAGAGTCCACTTCCACATGTGTGAGAAACAATGACCCTCACACTTCATAAGAGCCATGAAACCCAGAGCAGTTTATGCCTTTGCAAAGTTGGGCATCAGCCTAGAACGGCAGATATGCTGAGTGCAGAGAGGTTCATAACCCTAATGTGCGGCCCTTCCTCCCTTTTTTATAACCAGGACAGACAATCTTACACATCCTCCAGCTCTTATCTTTCCTTGTGTTTACATTTCCCCCAACAAAAACTCTGTTTTCATCTCTGCATTCTTACTTACATTCTGTTTATTTTATAGCTCGTCGGATGCAGGTGAGCTTGGCTGTAAATTTCTGCTCTAGACTTCTAGGTTTGGGTGGGGGAAATAACTTGAGGAGAAGGCATTGGCAAGGGTCTCTGTTTTCTGTTTTTTGTAGCTGGACCTAAGTTGGCTCAAGGCACCTTTGAGAAGGAAGTTTGATTTTTATCTCTCACACATGCCTTCTGGGGGTAAACCCACACTCATTCCAGTACCCTGCCAAACGAGAGGCAAAAAGCAAGCACCCATGGTGCAAGAAAGCCCTCAGGCAAAGAAGGCTACAGAAAGCTCAAAGCCCATTCAGTGCAGAGTTTTAAACCTTTTCTGTCCCACACAGTAGTTCCAGTTTTAAAATCGGGACAGCCTGTTGGAAGAGACTCATATTTCTTGTCTTAGTTTGGGTTTCTATTGCTGCAACAAAACACCATGACCAGAAAGCAAGTTGGGGAGAAAAGGGTTTATTTATTTGGCTTACACTTCATTCAGCATTGCTGTTGATCACTGAAGGACAGGACAGGAACAGGGCAGGATCCTGGAGGCAGAAGGAAATGCAGAGACCATGGAGAGGTGCTGCTTACTGGCTTGTTTGCCCTGGCTTGCTCAGCCTGGTTTCTTATAGAACCCAGGAGCACCAGCACAGGGATGGCACCACCCACCATGGGCTGGGCCCTCCCCCGTTGATCACTAATTGAGAAAATGCCTACAGCTGGATATCGTGGAGGCATTTCCTCAGCTGAGGCTCTTTCCTCTCTGATGACTCTAGCTTGTGTCAAGTTGACACACAAAACCAGCCAGCACATATCTCCAATCTAACTATGCATCCCCAGTACCATGAAGAGCATTGTACCCCAGTGGCTAGCCATACATTTCAGTTCACAGAAATGAACTATGGGAAAGTAAAACTCTCTCAAAGATGTGCTAGCTGGAAGGGTGGACAACTGGGAAGGTGTAAGACCCAACCTTGTACACCATCTCACGGATGATCTCTGCAAGGGAGGAGAAGCACTTTTGGTGGTGATAGGGTCCTGGGGAAATCCCACAAAAGAATCACCATCCATGTATGCAATCAGCAAGAGCGTTCTGGAGCCAACATTCTACACAAGGGCAAAATGGTGACGACCCTGACAGGAGCTCTCAGGCTCCTTTTAAGCATAGCCAAGGGGAGCTCCTAGGGTAGTTAGGTCAATTTAGATATGATTGGCTTAAGCAAGTGGCAATATTAGCACATTCTAATCAGCCAGGGCTAGTCAGGGGCTGGTCACGGCTACCATTTTCCATTTTGGGGAAGGCCTGGACAAGTCCCAAGCCCTGTCCTTGAGCTGCTGTGGAGGCTTGCTAGCCTAGTTACATGCTGACTGTGGGGGCTGGCTCAGGCCTGGTATGTTTATTTCCTTTGTCCCTGCTGTCGGGGGGCCTTGAAGATGGATTGTCTTTTGTTTATGGCTCCCTCAGAAACTGCTTGTTCAGTCCCAGGAAGTTGAAATTGAGGCCTGATCTCTGAGAGAAGATTGAGCAGCCTGTTATGGCATCTGCTTGATTCTCTCAGATGGCACAGTATTTGGGCATGTAGTCCTTTGGGGGTAGGTAAGCAGGGGAAGAGAGGTATGAGGTAAGAAAGTCACCTATGAAGATTAAGGACAGGTAAGCAATGAAGTTGGAGGCATGAGAAATATCTGAAACATTCCTTGCTGAGGAAAAAAAAAATGAGTGACTTGAGAACACAGTGAGCAGTCTAGGGAGATGGCTCAACAGTTAAGAAAGTTTGATGCTCTTGTGAAGGACCAGGGTTCTAGTCCTAGCACCTATGTTGAGTGGATCACAAATGCCTACAACTCCAGTTCCAGAGGCTCCGATGCCCTCTTCTGACCTCTATTTGTGTGAACACATGCGTGTGCATCACACACACACACACATACACATGCACATTTAAGAGAAAAATAAAATAAAATGCAGTGGTTGTTGGGAGGCTTGGAGGCGATGCAGGGGTCAGTGCCAGTCAGTGTGCACAGCTGCATTCTTCTCTGAGGCTGTACTGGAGCCAGGTACACACTCACAGGAGTGGTCACCTAGATAGAGTCCTTCTTGCTGGTTGATGCACTCATTATAGTCTGCCCAACTGGTTGGTTTCCATTTCCACCTGTAGAAGGAGAAGCAAGTAGGGTGAGTGACCAGAAAGAAAGATCTTCTAAACTGACATTTCGGGATTGAGCTCAGTACTTTTGAAAGACTGAGAGTCCACTAAAGTCATGAAGCACTTGCTATTCATCTTTGTTTCCCAGCTATCCCAAATTTATGATGAATAAATTAAGTGAAATAAATGACGGAGTGAATTTTAAAACCTTGAGATTCATTGGACTTGGTGTGTGCTTATTGTCTTTCAAACCACGAAATGAAAAACAAGTAAGAAAAACTATAAGAACCAGCCAAGCCTTTCCTGTTGTATTAATAAGTAAGGACAGGAGCTGGAGAGACGCTCATGGTTAAAGGCACTGCCTGCTCTTGCACAGGATGCTAGTTCAGTTCCCAGCACCCACATAGCAGCTCACAGACACCTGTGATCTAGTTTCAAGGAATCTAATGCTCTCTTCTGGCCTCCCCCAACACCAGGCACACACATAGTGCACATATATACATGCAGACACTCACATACATACATAAAATAAAAATAAGTAAATCTTTAAAATAAATAAGGGGGCGGGGCAGCAGTGGCACACACCCTTAATCCCAGCACTTGGGAGGCAGAGCCAGGCAGATCTCTGTGAAGTTAAAGTCTGGATTACCTTGGAGAACCCAACATGTTAGAGATTCCAGAGTCGTAGGATACTTGCCGAGGAGAGCTGCTAACAGGGAGTGTTATCAGCCCAGAGAAAGAAGTGTGTTGCAGTCAACAAAGCTGAACAAAGCTGAAGAATTAGAGATCTGAAGAGCATTTTGACATCAGACGTGGAGATGCAGAGTTTGGAGTTTGCCCAGCTGGCTTTTGGTCTTGCTTTGATCAAGTATTTCCTCACTATGCCCCCTTCCCTACATTTTTGAATGATAATGAATATCCTGTGCCATTATATGTTGGAAGTATGTTTTTTTTACTTTGATTTAATAGGGGATTACAGTTAAGAGATTGCTTGAATCTCAGAAGAGACTTTGAACTTTGGACTTTTAAACATTGTTGAGACTGTGATAGACTATGGGGGATTTGTTTGTTTGTTTGTTTGTTTGGTTGGTTGGTTGGTTTTTTTATACAGGGTTTCTCTATGTAGTTTTGCTCCTTTCCTGGAACTCACTTGGTAGCCCAGGCTGGCCTCGAACTCACAGAGATCCTCCTGGCTCTGCCTACCAAGTGCTGGGATTAAAGGCGTGTGCCACCAGGAGGCTTTTAAAAGTTGAACTAAATGCATTTTGCATTATGATATGGCTACAAGCCTATGGAAGCCAGTGAGTGGTATGTGGTAGTTTGAATGTAATTGACTCCCATAAGCTTATAGGAAGTGGCACTATTAGGAGGTGTGGCTTTGTTGGAGTGGGTATGGCCTTGTTAGAGGAAATGAGTCACTGTCAGGGAGGGCTTTAAAGTTTCCTGTGCTCAGGACACTGCAGAGTGTCTTAGTTGACTTCTTGCTGCCTGTAAGATGTTGGACTCTCAGCTACCTCTCCAGCACCATGTCTACCTGCACGGCACCATGCTTCCTACCATGATGATAATGGGCTGAACCTCTGAAACCATAAACCAGTCCCAATTAAATGTCTTCATTATAAGAGTTGCCATGGTCATGTGACTTTTCACAGCAATAAAAATGTGAACTAAGACAACTTCAAATGAAATTGACCTAAATCTAAAATAAATTGTAGAATTCACATGATGAACAGCTAAATCCTCTCTATATAATTTCCAGCACTTTTCTGTTTGGTAATTTTTATAATCAAATATTTGGAAAAATAAATGGTTTTTAAATGCATAGATTGTAAAGGGGAAAATTACACTGAGTTCGAAAAATATTTACAAAGTAAGTGGAATAAAACAGTGCAACCTTTTTGGATGTGACTGCTTGGATCTTGAGTGTCCCTTGACCAGTGTCACAGATTTGCCAGACTGTGGCACTATTGGGAGGTGATAGGACTTGTAAGAGGTGGGGCCTAGGAGGAAGAAGCTGGGTCACTGGAGAGGTCACACACACCTGAGGAGATACTGGTGTCCCTCTCTCTTTCTTGCTCTCTTTTCTTCACAGCCATGACAAGGGGAGCAGCTTCTCTATCACACATTCCCATCATAACGGTTTGCCCTGCCACGGATCCAAAAGCAGCAAGTCAACTACCCATGCGTGGAAACCTCAGAAACCATGAGCAAAAACAAAACAAAAAAATTAAGCTTCTTAAATCTTAATTTGCTCAGGCCTTTTGTCAGCAATGAAAAACCTAACACATGAGAATTTTAAGTAAAGGCTGGAGAGATAATTAAGAGAATGGGCTGTTCCTTCAGAGGACCCATGTTTGAATCCCAGCACCCACATAGTAGCTCACAATGCTGTGCAACTCCAGTCCCAGGGTATCTGACACCCTCTTCTGGCCTCCTTGGGCACTAGACAGACAGATAGACAGACAGACAGACAGACACACACACACACACACACACACACGGTACACAGACATATGTACAGGCAAAACACCCATATACATGAAAGTAAAATAATTTTTTAAAGTAATTTTAAATAAGTTCAGTTTATTTCCAATGTTCCCAAGGAATAGAGGAGAGTAACGTATGGGAGTTTCTGTGACTATGTTCCTTTCAAAACTCTGCTCTCCCTCACGCTCCTCTCTAAACCGATGGCCTTCTACCTTTTCTCACTGACAAGAAAGAGTACTATCATCAGGAAGACCTCACCGCTCAGCATCCTTACTGTAAACGTGTTTGTAGATATCTCCTTCTCAGTTTTTCCTGGTTTTGGGATGAGTTATCAAGGCTACTTTTCTTTCTTTCTTTTTTATTTAATTAACTTTTTTTTTCATTTATTTTATATACCGAGCACAGTTTCCCCCTCCCTCCTCCTATCTGCTTCCTTCCCCATCTGCTCCTCCTCTGTCTCCATTCAGAAAGGGGCAGGCCTCCCATGGGCTTGAACAAAACATGGCACGTAAAGTTGAGGCAGGACCGAGCTCCTCCCCCTGCATCAAGGCTGGGCAAGGTCCAGCATGGAGAACAGGTTCCCAAAAGCCAGCTAAGCACCAGGGACAGGTCCTGATCTCACTGCTAGGAGCCTTACAAACAGACCAAGCTACACAACTGTCACACACATGCAGAGGGCCTATGTCAGTCTCATGCAGGCTCCCTAACTGTTGGTCCAGTGTCCATGAGCTCCCAGGAGCTCAAGTCAGCTGTCTCTGTGGGTTTCCTGTCATGACCTTGCCCCCCGCCCCCCCCCCCAGGCTCCTACAATCCCTCCTCCCTTTCTTTAGCAGGACACCCAGAGCGGAGCCTACTTTTCAAGACCAATTAGTGACCATGACATGATGACCTTCATTTTCCTGTCTTGCTCTATTTGTCTTCTCTATTTTTCTTACTTCTTCCCCCAAAATTAAAGAACTGAATAAGAATCATTTCTGAAATATCCTTTTGTCTCAAACATACAAGAAATTCCTACTGTGATGGTTAATGGTGAGTAGCGTCATCCTGTGGGAACCAGAATCCATCGTTCTCTGCTTGGCTCCACATGATGTGACCAGGTGCCTCACTCGTCTGCCACCACCATGCTTCCCCGGCTATGGAAACTTTTCAAGTAGGACAAACTGCATGTTATGGTATGGCCATGAGCCTATGGGGGCCAGAGAGTGGAATGTGGTAGTTTGAATAAGAAATGTGCCCAATAGGCTCCTGATATTTGACACTGGCTGGAGCAGTTATGGGGAGGAGCAGGCTTGAGGGTGGAAATGTCACTGGGGGAATGGGGGGCATGGGGGGCGTGGGGGAGAGACTCTGAGAGTTTGGAGCCTTGCTCCACTTTCAGCTGACTTCCTGCTTTGTACTTGAGGTTAAAGATGTGCTCTCTCAGCTTCCTCCCGCTCTGACTCATGCCTGCCACTGGCTGCCATTCTCTACCCTAGCATGAATGACTCTATTCCCCCTGGAACCATAAGCCAACACAAACTCTTTTCCTTAACTTGCCTTTGGCAATAGTGATTTATCAAAGCAACAGAAAAGTCACTAATACACCTGACATGATCAGCTGTACCCTCGAACTCTGAGCCAAAACAAACCCTTCCTCCCCAAGTTGCTTAAGTTGGAATTTTTATCACAGCAGTGAGAAGAGCAACTAATACAGAAAATTGTACCAAGACATGGTAACGAAGTCACAAATCATGTTTAGAAGGCTGTGTAAACATTCAAATGTAACTATCTCAGACAAATGTATTGTTTTTAAATATATGAGAAACCAAACCATGTGACTCGTGACCCTTTGGAACTGGTCTTCAGGAGGAACGTGAAAGAGCTTGGAGCCGTGAGCTACAGAAGTCCTAGAATACTGTAAGCAGAGCTTAACGGGCTATTATGGGGGAGATCAGAAGATTAATACGCCAATATAAATGCAGACAGTGGAAGACTGGCTCCCGAGGTGTCAGAGGGGAACAAGGACTCTACTGGCACCATTTGTGTTACATTGCAGCTGTGGTCGAAGGGAACCAGGCATCTTGATCTGGTAGCAGAACTCTGCAGAACTGTCTACATGGCGCTGGCTTTGTATGCATGAAAATCCAAGTGGGAAGGGGTAGTGGAGACTTGCACCAAGGTTGCAGAAGGCTACTAAAGATAGCAACATGTAGCAGGTTCAGATTTCCTGCAAGGAGGCCCTGTGAGGCTACAGTATGAATCTATAAGGTCTAAGTTGCAACAAAGATTCTAAAATGTTATAGTTGCCAAGACCATGGATGTATGAAGAAAGTTCTAGGCATGTGTAGAGCCATCCAGAGACAGAGAGGGA